CTGCCCCACCCTTTAACTCATAAGCCTACTGATATATTAATTGGGTCTAAGTAATAAAGCCCAGTTACCTTATTAACCCATACCCAATCCCATATGACCCATTCTCCTGTCCTTATTTTTGCCTTTCCCTCTTCAGATAAAACTTCAATCCCTAATCCCCTTCAATCCCTAATTCCTTTCTCTCCTCTCCCCCTTTCTGCTGATGATTCCCCAACTTCCTTCTTCGATTTTTCCCCAAATTAAAACCTTCAAACCCTAACTCCCCTTCCATCGTGACACAAGGCAACGGGACGAAAATACACCTGCAAATCCATTTCAACAAGTAAACTAACCACTGAAAAGGACAGAGAGGATGTTAGAAGAGAGGTTTCACTACTACAGCACCTAACAAGGGCAACCGAATATTGTGGAATTCAAAGGTGCTTATGAAGATGGGAAGAATGTGCATCTGGTGATGGAACTGTGCTGGGGTGGCGAGCTTTTTGATCGGATCATAGCCAAAGGGAGTTATTCGGAACGTCAAGCGGCTTCTATTTTCAGGCAGATAGTGAATGTGGTGCACGCCTGTCATTTTATGGGGGTTATGCATAGGGACTTGAAGCCTGCAAATTTCTTGCTGGTTAACAAGGATGAGAATTCTCCGATAAAGGCCACAGATTTCGGACTCTCCATTTTCATTGAGGAAGGTTAGTTCTGTTTCTATTGCTACCCTTTGATATTACTATGCATAACTTAGGACTTATTTTCTTATGTATTGAGCTCTTTATGTTTTCTTTTTCATGATTGTGAAATTGCTATTACAAAGAAAAATAAAAAGAAAAGCAAAACACTTGAAGTCGACCTATTTATGCCTCATTTCTTTATGGAATTTCATTTGCGTGAAATCAAGAATCTAAACAGAGCACCTAAAGTTTACCAAATATTTCAGGCACAATGTATAGGGAGCTTGTCGGAAGTGCATATTATGTTGCACCGGAGGTATTAAACCGGAGATATGGCAAGGAGATAGATGTGTGGAGCGCCGGTGTCATTTTATACATTCTTCTTAGAGGGGTGCCTCCATTTTACGGAGGTATTTTACATGAAAATTTTATTTACTTATATTTGTATACATTCTTCATTAATCCAATATAGATTTCTGTTACAACAAGACAGCTTTAGGGAAACACAAAGATGTTCCAGCATAGCTCTAGGGAAACTTTCATATGGAAAGGATTGGCTTAGTTTTGCTTTTGGTTCTGATATCTCTTCTAATGTTGATGAATGATTTTATTGCAGAGACAGATAAAGAAATCTTCAAAGCAATTTTAGAAGGTAACCTCGACTTAAAAAGCCAGCCATGGCCATCTATATCTGAAGGTGCAAAGGATCTTATCAGGAAGATGTTGGCAAGGTGCCCCAAGAAACGGATTACATCTACTGAAGCCCTAGGTAAAAAAAGTTAATGTTTCTGGAAATTTTATTAGGCAAATCCCTTCAAGATAATGGAAAAAGGGAAGAATTGAATTGGCAACATTGAACATCGGGTCCATTTTGTGTATATGAACCAGACCATCCATGGATGAAGGAGGGCAGTGATGCATCCGACAAACCTATCAATACTGCTGTTCTTAGTAGGTTAAAGCAGTTCAGAATAATGAACAAGCTAAAAAAACTGGCCCTAAAGGTATGGCCTACGCCTCTGGTTTTTCATGTTACAATTTTAGTCGTCCATAAAAGCAAAAACTTCATTTATTTTCCCACCAAGTGATATCTTCATCTGTAAATTCGATTTCCGGAAGGTGATAGCAGAAAGCCTATCATCAGAAGAAGAGATCAAGGGCCTGAAACATATGTTTAAAAACATCGACACCGATAGAAGTGGTACAATAACACCAGACGAACTCAGAGATGGATTAGCTCGATTGGGATCGAAGTTAACTGAGCCAGAAATAAAACAACTTATGGAAGCTGTAAGATTTTATCCAACTATATGGTCCCTCCTTTCCACCTATATTCCCATTAACATAAGAATGAAACAAGCCTAAACCTTATTTTGTCAGGCTGATGTTGACAGCAGTGGAACCATTGATTACATTGAATTCATAACTGCAACAATGCATCGACATAGGCTTGAGAGGGAAGAAAATATAGTCGAGGCCTTTAAGTTCTTTGACAAGGATAACAGTGGGTTAGTGTGTTGCACTACTGCCTTTCCAGTTTTGAACAATACTTGATTGAACAACAGACTTTGTCTTCTTTAATTCAGGTTTATTACAAGAGATGAACTAAGCCAAGCTATGATGCAGTATGGAATGGGAGACGAGGCTACCATTGATTAAGTTATCGAGGATGTTGATACTGATAAGGTTTTAGTTTCGCTTCTTATTTAAGAAAATTGTCTATCTTTCTGTTGCTTTCTTTGCTTCACTTGATTTTAATGGACAGGACGAGAGGATCAATTATGAGGAATTCGTGGCCATGATGAAAAGGGGAATTCAAGACAGATGAAGAACTAACTGGAAAAGGTCAAACTTCAGACTCTATGCATCTTCATAATTTTAAATTCATCGTTTATTGAAATTGATTTCAGCCAAGACACAAACAAATGAAACTTATGGATATGGAATTCAAAATTCATATGCACAATCTTCGATTGAACAAGACTAACACATACTTGATTCATTATCAATACAAAACCAAAGCACAATCATTACCGTGATCGTTCCACATGAAGAGTCAGGAAGCTCGAAGGATGTCGCGTTAGAGACCCAGCGCCTCTCGTAGAGTGCTGGTGAGACGCTGTCGATTCAGCGACACTTCTTCCTCATCATCTAGGGATTTCTCCTACTTCACCACGTGTCTGTCAAGTTTCCAAGGTGTCCGGACCTTCATGTTAAAATCGCTGGATGAAGACAACGTCGCTTCTAGAAACGAGCATCGAATGGATGGTTAAACTCGCGCATCTTCGCATGTAAGCGAGCATCCTTCAAATGGATGGAGCCGAAGACGAGACAAGAAAGTTAAGGGCTGAGAATTGGGTCAGTGTCCTTTGATTTGGGCCTAAACTTATGGCCCGATGGCCGCCGGTGTTGCCGCTATGGTGGAGCATGCCCAATGGGTCTTATGGGCATTAGATTTTGTTTTGAAATGTGCTGCTATATTGTGAAGAGTCAGGATTTGGATTGAGACTCTTTTGTATAAAGGTTGATCTTTTTGATCCTATTCTTGTCATCAAGGTTACCAACGTAAGTCCCCTTATCGGTAAAATGATATAATGCAAAAAATAGCTTCTATCACACGTTAATGAAATATTAGTTTAGTAAAAAGTTTTTATACCAGTCTGTCTTTATCTACATTGAATAATAAGTGATAAAAAATATACACGTGAGTGTCGTTGTCACTGTTCATCCAATTAATATTCGTGTTCATAATAACACATATCTTTTTAAACCTCTTTTATATTGCTTTTATCAATCAAATATTAAAATTATTTTTTATTTGACTGAATCTTTGTCGTATCTTATTTAATAATTCGATCATTTTTTTTATTTTTATTTGACTATTAATTTAGTTAGTTTTTTTAAAACCGTGTGGCCTCTCTCCACTAAATTTTCGACTCAAGATTTCAACCATAAATGTCTTTACACGTTAGTATATTTATTGTTATATGATTTAAGGTGTGTGTTTTACTGTGCTACAACCGTTTTAATTCAGTTTAATAGTTTTTTTTTGTTGAATCTGGAATAATTAATTTTTGATCAATGTTGTGGTGATGTATTTGAATCTTTGTGTGTCTCTATCTGGTGCTAAATTTTGTTTTGTAATAATTGTTTGATTGATTAAAAATTGATTTGAAGCGTGATTGTTTTGTGACATTATTGTATTAAATTCAATTCGGATAAACATATTATGTGACGCATGTTATAGATCGACTTTGGAATTTATGCTATCCATTCGGTTTTTGAAATTTATGTAAATGTTTTTACAATCGGATCAGATCAGAATTCGGATATGCATATTTGATGCAATGAAATATTGGGTTGGGATTGATAGGAGAAGTTCAGTGTGTTCACCGATGGGGTGAATTTCACATAGGATCAAGTGGCCTCTACTTTTGTGACAGACCCCACATCAAATGGTGTGAAGTAGAGAGTGGTTATAGGAACTTACTCTTCGGACGGTGTACAATGTATGAGTGTATTTACATTTTCATATTTTGAATATTATGACTCATACTATGATTATGTTTGTTGATTTTCCTGAATACTATGTTTATCTGTTGACTACACTAAGCTCTATTGCTCACCCTTTAATTTTTTCCTTTCAGATATTTTAGAAAGTTAGGATCAAAGTCTCTAATTTAAATTATAAATTGATAAAATATTTTTTGATAAAGTGATGATAACTATATAAATTATTTGTAAATCTGAATTCATGTGTTAAAAATTTTGAATTAATTTTTGATCACATTGGTAATCAATATAACCTTCCAAAGTTGGCCGTAACGTTTAGTACTAATTTAGGGGATACAAGAAACAAGTCTAAAATATTATTTGTTGTAAATGTGAGATGAGAGAAAAATAGCTTTTGTCCCATCTTCTAACCGCAGAAACCACGTGTTAAACTGCTACTAGAAATTGCCTAGAAGATTCCTGGTTTAGGCTCTCTCCCATCACAGACTTTCAGGTATCGAGTAATTTTGAAGGTCTAACATTTCCATGCCTTGCTTTGCCTTAAACACAGACATTTTCACATCCTATTAGAAACCTTATCATCACAACCATTCATACATTAATATATGCTCATGCCATGCTATACGGTTCATGGATATTATCAAAGTAATACGTTTCAGATAAAATTACAATGATATTAAAATCTATAAGGTCTCACAAAAGCGATAATAGTTTGCTGAAATTCATATCTACACAAACATCTTAAACGGCACAAATAGACAGACATTGATCATTCAACAGACGACCACATTTTATATGCAGATTTTTCTAAATAAACAAAGCAAAGGAAGCACTTTCATGTATCTATAGGGTCTCACAAAAGCAATAATAGTTTGCTGATATTCATATCTATACAAACATCTTAATCATCACAACCAGACAGGCATTAATCGTTCAACAGAAGACCACATTTTATATGCAGATTTTTCCAAAAAAAACATAGCGACGGGATCACTTTCATGTATATTCCATTCAAGTCGCATTAGCATGGACTAGGTGTAACCCAAAGTGGTGTAGGCCAACGCAATCTAAAGAGAGAATTTCGTGGATAACAGGGCAATGGCTCAATGCTCCCATCCCATAGCTTGTAAATACCAATATCATGTTCCCCAAAAGCACCATCATAGTTACTTTCAGAGTAATCATCTGTGAAATATATGCAATCCCCCATACAACCTGTAAAATCCGTAGCTGACAACGATAATGAAGAATTTTCACCAATAAAAACCATCTTATCATGCAAACTTTGCACTCTTTCCCAATGAGGCCCACTCCAAACTAGCCTAGAAACCTGGAATCGCTTCGTCCTATAGACCAAATAGGGCTGATCAGGCTCGAAATTGAATTCAAGATCAAGGTGACGGGTAACGAGTAATAGTTCATCTCCAGAATTGATCAAATATTGCATATCACCGACCAATTGTGTCGGTATTTGGACAAAGGAAACCCGGGGCGAATCATGGTGAACATCACAGATTACAATTCCTCCATGTTTATTCACAGCGTAAAACAACCCCTTACAATAAATGACATCTTCGGAATAAGATTGGGTACCTGGGATAAAGCGCCAATAATCATCGCTGTTTCTGCAGTAAAATAACTCGCCGGTTTGATTAAGAATCGCCACTGCAACGAAACGTAACTCCTTGGAAGGATTGGCGGAAAGCACGATTTTTTTAACTGAGTCTCGCATTTGGCGCAAATTACGAGTGTAGCGATCACCGGAAGGGGAGAGGAAGGAGTATTCCTTGCCGATGTGGGAGTAGTTAAAGCTGTGGACGTTGGGGAAAGAAGAGAGAGGAGGGAGGTGGAGTTTGGCTCGGGAGAGGGGGTTTAAGAGGAGAACAGAAGGGGATTCGTCAAGGATAACGAGCCAGCCGTGGGAAGAGCCGCAGTGGCGTTTATTAGGGTTGGACGATTCGGGGACGGAGAGGAATCGGAGTTTATTGGCGGAAAGGTCGTAGAAGGCGCGTAGGCATTGGTGGGATTGAGAAGGAGGGAGCATGAGCCAGGGGAGCTGAGGAGGGAGACGTAAGGGGGTTTTAGGGATTGAGGACCGCCAGCTGCGGCAAACCGCTCGGCAACTGATGTAATCGGAGTAGAGTTTCAGGTATTCGGAGATGGATTCCAGGAGTTCTGGCGGGAGTTTTGTCCAGTCAGCCACACCCACCATCTTTGTTGTATTTATGGATAGAACTGGAAACAAATTTTTCTCGCAGATCAGAGGGATTTTGGGAGAGATGAAAATTTGGGTTTACAATATTCAGTCGGAAATACGATTTCTTTGGATAATCGGGTGGTTGTCATGAAGAGTCTGATTCTAAACCATATAAAGAAATTTGGTTTAATTTGACTTTCACACCTCTGCTTTACGAAAATGAAAAAAAAAAATAGTTTAATTACATGAAATTGTTGAAGTTTATCGTCAACACTCAACAGTTCAATAATTTAAAAATATACAATAAATTGAAAAAAAAATCATCGGGTCAATTTTACATGCTCATCCAAATAAACTTTTAAACTTCATAAAGTACCAGATCAATTAGAGTAAAATATTAACTTTTGTAGATCTTGTAAATGAGAGAAATGAAGTCTGAATTTGGATAATTATAACAAAATAGTATAATTTATTAGACTAGTAATTTCAGAAAGTTATAATTCTCTAAATGAGGTATGAGTTGGATTCTGCTAATGTGGTTAATATGATCAAGGACCAGAGTGCTTATAATAGGTCCCTAGCTCTGGTGAAGAAGAATGCATACTTTTGGCAAATAGATTTGCAAATCTGGCGTTAAGAGTAATAGGGTAGCTTATTACCTTGAGAAAGCAAGCTTTGGCGATGAATTTGGAGCTGGTGTTATCGATAAGCTATATACAGATTCCTACTTATTTGCTTGTTCATGCTAGATAACGGGTAATTTTTTGAAGACTTTCATTGACAAAAATCATAACTACAAGCAATTAGTTGGGTTTCATCTCTTACTAATTCTGATGTAACCCAACGTATGCATTAACACTACATGACAGTATTATGTGAATAGTACATTACAAAAAAAGGCTTCCATTGGTTACAATAACATGAATTAAACGAGTAAGGAATTAATTAATAGATGTAGTTTGTGTTAATCTAGCAGGTAGTTGTTGTGGCCTAAAGCTTTTATACTGTTCGATCAGCATTGGTATCCTGATGGGTGGCCTCACCAGAGCCAGAGCGTCAATGTGCTGGTGTAGCACCCTCAGCGCCATGTTCTTCTCCTTTTTCTTCATGATGAGAGGATTCTTTCTTCCCATGGTCATGGCCATGTCTATGATCATGACCATGTCCATTCTCATGACCGTGGCCAAGATCAGTCTTCTGGGCAGCCTTCTTGTGCCACTGCTTTAGGGCCTTGGAAGTTTGCTCGTCGAAGATTGACCTCTTCATGGTCGACCCCATCTGCAAATTCAACGGTCAATCAAACATCGGCATGACTTGGTTTAGGGTTTAGGGTGTTAGGGTCGGATTTACCTGAGTAACAAGGGCATAGAGTGGAAGTGTGATGTAGCTGCATATGAATTGGACTACCACCCTGTCAAAAATTCACCCTTCATCATCATATGTGCAGCAAAATACATATGAATTCACATATTTATTTGTTTATTAATATACATTCCTAATTCAGTTAACTTACCCAAGACAAACTCTTATGGTTATAAGTGTAAAATCCTCATGAAAGCATGATTTCAGGCCGAACTCATACTGTATATTAGAAGAGATGGTTAGAAACATTGGTTTCACCTGTTGTAGGCGTTGTCGTAATATGAAGAACAATAAAATTACCCATATCCAAAAGAAATACGTGATCTCGAATGCATTCTGAAGATGACACATACATACAGTAAAGAATGTCAGAATATAAGGCGTTGCCAATTATGACAATGATCAGAAGGAAGAGAAGGGTGTGCAAAACAAACCTGAAACAAGACATAGTGGATAAGATGAAGGCACAAGGGAGGATAAGCGAACCAAAAATGCTTGTCAGAGACTTGCACAAGAGGCATCCCTTGTATAACTGCGTGTTTTTCTACTATTTCCAGTGCCATTCGTGCTATAATTGCTTGAAGCTTGGTTCCAACTGCTAAAGTTAACTTTAATAATAAAAAAAAGGTGGTCATTTACGTAATATAACAAAATTCATAAATGGGGATTTAAGTTTTCATGGACAATGTGTTACCACTAAAGGCAACATGGACATGAAAGTCATAATATGCCAACCTGAAAGCATAAAAAAAAACATGCATGAATGAATATATTTGCATAAGAGGAATAAAACAAATAAATACAGAGGGGTAAAAAACAGGGCAAGATCCAGTATGTATGTCTGTAAAAAGTAAAAGACAGGAATTAACCATGGACGTCAAAAAGGAGAAAGAGCACTGCCAAACCCCATAATGCTGGACTGCAAGCACCACCAGTATTAGTAGAGAAATGAAAGATGAGAGCACCACCGGTAAAAGTTACAGAAAAAGAAACTCACGTAATCCCGACGACCACCTTGAAGTCATCTTCTAATGATTTTTTGATATATTTTTGAAAGTCGAACTTACTCCCAGGTGTTAAATGAACCTATATATCAATTCGAAGGCATTATAACTGTTGCAACAGATGGAGAAATAAATAACAAAAATGAAGTTGAGCAGAGGAAACTCACACTGACGAATCCGTGACGCATCGTAGAATAATCAGCCTTGGTAACAGACCTGAAGAATTGTCGCCACATGCATACCTGGAAAAAAGTTCATTCATTCCTATAATCTCATCGTTTTGTTTTAAACCTTTAAGCTGGTAAACAAAACTGGAAAAAAAAAATGAAGAGTTGATTAATTCTTACGAAATAAAAGGAGAATTTTGTTTTTGTCCAGGCACCTCTGGTGTGGTCTCTCACAAAAGATGTCTCGTGAGTGAGCCTAAATCTTGAAGGATCTAAATTACCAAGCAATACAGCAATTTTAATCAGTCGGAATGCATGCATGCTGTATGTATGTATATTAACTAGTGTTATTATACCGTTAAGTTCATTAAGACTATTGATGCACTCCCGTTCCCACTCCTTCCAGCCTCGTGTCTGCAATGCATAAATAATAAGAGATTCAGGAACACTACACCTATATATGATTAATAAAAGATAGAGAGAAATCTCAAGAAAGTGAAAGGATAACCAGCAACCTTTAATCTTCCCAGCATCATCGTGGTGGCGCTATACGCCACGTGAAAAACTGCTAAAAAGAAAATGAAAATGTGCAACTGATGCAATGCATGCACTGATATAAGTGGCACGTACCCCTACAGTTCATCATTTACAACTGCTTTAGTCTCAAAGTTGGATGCAACGAATTCAACCCTAATACATACATATATATATATATATATATATGTTATTGAAGATATGCACTACTTACTTTGTCGCAAGCTGCAGTGTTGTCATGACCTGATAAAAATCTACGCGCATCATCATAAAAAAGCAGTCTCCGATGATGTTCCTCACCTCTGGCACCCTCTTCATGATGATCACCATGACCCTCTTCCTTATGATCACCATGGCCACCTTGACCGTGGGCCGATTCCGCATGTCTTTTGGGGCAAAACAACATTGTATCAGCGACCTCCTCTGGTATACAGATTTTGGAGATATAACTCTGCCCGAATGTCAGGAGCAAAGAAATGAATCCCAGCACCATAAGTTCTGCCAACAAAAACAATAATAATGTTGTAGAAGAAGCAGAAATAAATTATGAGTTTGAGCAGAAGAAATGTGATTGATTTTAATTACCGCCTTTAACTTTTTCAAGAGCCTCTAATAAAGCCTCCTTTTTTTTATGTTCGAATACCTGCAATGATGAAATGAAATTGTTTTATTTCATTACTATGAATAAAAAGGCAAAGACAAACAAATCAAAAACGCAGAAGATGACATGCATGTCCAACTGTGTGGAGAATCTTTTCAAGAGCGATAGAAATGAGGATGATCAAAGCAACAACCACCGCCACAGCCCAGGTGGGAGTCTGATCAAGCTCCCTGCCGGAGACTCCTCCTCCACTCATTTATTTTATTTATATTATAGATTTTACAATTATCGATTCAAATAAGATAATATGATTCCTTTTTATTTATTCATAGGGAAAGAAAATGAAAAGGAAAATTGGAAAACCTATGGTGCCGCTTAATTTAGCATGCACCCGTATATCCATTAGCTTTATTCGTAAACCAGACACCCAATTAAGTTTCACCCTAAACTCGACATATGGAATCATTATAAATTTTCATCTGCCACTGAGGATTCATTCGTTTTCCTTGTAAAACCAACGGTATTGACGTTGACAAGTGGCGGTTGATCATCCAAATCCGCTCTTGCCTCTACATCTTCACCCTTTTAACGCCTTGCAGCTCGTAATTTTGTTACTCTTTACTACTCACGAGCCTGTAGCCTCTTATCTCCCCAGATTGTTATTCCACACAGGATTTGAATTGAAGTATTAAATTGAGAAAATAAAGCTCAACAAGGAAAGTTCATATTAAAAATAGTTTTTTTATAATCATATATTCTATTTATATTAATCTATATCAAATATTTTAAAACTGATCCTTCAAAATTAATTTATTTAATTCATAACGTGGAATTCAAAACCTACATGTTATTTAAGAGACCAAATATTCTATTTCACCTTATCAATTGATAATTGATAGTTGATAGGCGTACTCTAATTTTAATATTTTAGTTTTCATTTATTTGTTCAAATTTTATCCGTCTAAATTACTAAAAAAAAGCAAAATAAATATTTGAATTATGTGAATCACTTTCCCTAATATTTTTAATCATGTGATTTTTTTAAATTACTATTTAAAAATATTATAAAATATAAAATAAATTTTTAATTATAATCAAGGGATCAAATAGAATATTATTTATTAGTTTAATATGTTATACTATTTATTTTAACGATGTGACAATTTCATAATCAAATAAAAAATATACAAATGGTGTAAGGTTCACAGTGCCTCAATTTCATAGTCGATATTAGTACATCCGTCTAAGACCCTGGGCTTGCCCCAGCCCAGAAGCGATACATAAAGCAACCACGCAGGACGCCGCAGGCTCACACTGCCGATTATAGTTGGTTCAATTGAGGATAGAACGATGCCAAATCTCCTCCTGCGAAACCTTTATATAGTTTCATTCGGTTCAGCTCTCAAGCCTACGACCGTAGAGCTTCCAATGAGTTTCTGAGTGAGTAACTTTCGACGCCGATAAACCGTTCGAAGAAAGTCCCCTTAGACATTGAAACATCCCCTTTTTGCTGCACAAGTTTCATTCCACAAACAACGCTAATACTAAAAAAATGGATTGCATGTTGTCATCCATCACCACATATCCTTTCATGAATCTGAAAGGAAAGGTACAAAAGAGAATTTGTGTTACTACCCTGGCGCATCCTAACACAAGAATTTGCTATAGGAAGCTACCCAAGAATCGCCGTTATCCGCGTCGCACCAAACTTCCTCCTGACTTTGGCGTCAACTTGTTCTTGCAGAAACCTACAAATGGAACCGACACGCCCACGGACGCTGAACAAATAAATTCAATTGACGATCACAATGAATCCCCTGAAGAAAAAGAAGAACAAGAAGATCGTGTTAATATTGATCCTGTTTGGGAATCATATGAGATTGAAGCAATATCGTCACTTTTTCAGGGAAGGATCCCTCAAAAGCCTGGAAAATTAGGCAGAGAGAGGCCTCTTCCTCTCCCACTTCCTTACAAGCTACGGCCACTTGGATTTCCTACGCCAAAGAAACACGTTAAGTCGGCTTCTCCTGAGGTATCCTCCTCTCGCGCTTCTGTATCCAAACAATTATACAAGAACCCGACCTTTCTTATTGGCTTAGCCAGAGAGATTAAAGACCTGGCTTCCGATGACGATGTGTCTGCAGTCCTCAATAAGTGGGCTCCTTTTTTGCTTAAGGGTTCGTTGTCAATGACAATTCGAGAATTGGGTCACATGGGTCTTCCACAAAGAGCTCTGCAAACTTTCTGTTGGGCTCTGAAGCTGCCTCAGTTGTACCCGGACGATAGGATTTTGACTTCGACTGTTGAAGTATTGGCTAGGACGCGTGAATTAAAACTGCCCATCAACTTGGAGAAGTTCACTATCTCCGCGAATCGTAGTCTGATTGAGGCGATGGTGAAAGGGTTCATCAAGGGTAGAAGCTTGAACCTTGCTTGGAAGCTCTTTTCAGTTGCTAAGCAAAGTAAAAGAGTGCTGGATCCAAGCATTTACGCCAAGTTAATATTGGAGCATGGAAAGAATCCTGATGAACACATGCTTGTAGTGGACTCACTGGATGATCTTGGAGAAAGAGATGATTTGAATTTGAGTCAGCAGGACTGTACAGCGATCATGAAGGTCTGCGTTAGGCATGGGAAGTTTGAGATTGTGGAGAGTTTGTTTAACTGGTTCAAGCAATCAGGGCGTGAGCCGAGTGTGGTGATGTACACAACACTGCTTCATAGTCGTTATTCCGAGAAGAAATACAGGGAAGCATTAGCTGTTGTTTGGGAAATGGAGGCCAGGGAATGTCTCTTGGATCTTCCTGCTTATCGTGTAGCAATAAAGCTTTTTATTTGCCTGGAAGATGTGTCGAGAGCTGTGAGATATTTTTCCAAACTCAAGGAAGCTGGTTTCTCTCCAACATACGACATGTATCGAGACATTATTAATATGTATATGGTTTCAGGGAGAGTGAGCAAGTGTAAGGAGGTTTGTAAGGAGGCGAAGATGGCGGGGTTTTCATTGGATAAAGAAACCTTGTCAATTTTGTCACAACTGGAGAAAGACATTTTAGATTATGAATTTAGGTATTAATTTACTTCACCATTTTCATGCTTATTATATCTTAGAATATATGTATAAATTGGTGTTTCCTGTGCATTGTGACATAAATCTCATTTATTAATCTGGCCCCTAAGGGTCTCGATAAATTTAGCTCATTAATTCAATTCCCATAATAGTCTTGTTTTCTCTATGATTATTATTATAGCCTTCTCATTATCCTAATCTATTCTCTTCGTTTGTAATCCTGTACGAATCGGTAGTAATTTTCTTGTTCCACTATTAACGTTTTTATTTGCTTTACTTCCTTTTTATTTTTCTCTTCTTTCATATCTCTTACCATGTTCCAGAATCTGTTGTAAATTTTAAATTTGACTCTGGTTCAATTTATTGTGATAAAAAAACAGGTTGTTTCTGTTAAACTACTTACTCATGACGGTCTTCAGGGCAATCAGGAATTCATTGTGGGGGTTCTTATGCTGAGCCTGCTACACAATGTTAATCTGCTCACCTTGATAGGCTATTGTTCTGCTGGAGATCAGAGGCTCTTGGTTTATGAATACATGCCAATGGGTAGCTTGGAAGATCATCTTTTTGGTAATTTTTCCCCTTTTTATTAGGTGTAGAGTTTTATTGAATACGTAATCCTTTTACTTCCGCATTATCTACTGAATCTTTTTTCCTTTTATGGTGTCCCTCTTTATGTTGTAGACTTTTCGCTTCCCTGTATATCCTTAGGGCATGCCTTTACTTGTTTACTACTGAAGAATGCTGGTTTTCATTCAAGTTTTCTTTTTATTGTCGATCTTGTAGTCCTGAGGTTAATAAGCAGAAAAGGATTACTTACCTATCATTTGTGCTCCCCTGATTTCTCATGTAGTTGTTGCCTTGTTGGGGTGGTATTCATGTTCAACTGTATATCTAGCATGCCTAGAAATTGGAACTGGAAATGCAAATATTTAGAATTTGGCACCAAGTTGGATGTATTTCACCTTGTTTTATCCCGTTGTATTTATGTAATTTGGCTTGGATGTTTCATGTAGTGTTGATCAGAGTATTCTCTTATGTAAAGGAACTGTTGCAGATGGTTTTGTTGTAAGAAAAGAAACACAAAAATAATTCTCATTCCTCAAATGTCACCAATTAAATATGTTTGCAGATCTAGAACCTGGTCAAGAGCCTCCGAGTTGGGAGAAATGTATAAAGATTGCTCTCGCTGCTTCCCGAGGAATCAAATATCTACATTGCAAGGCCAATCTACCAGTCATTTATCGTGACTTGAAGTCTGCAAATATTTTGCTGGATAATAATGATTTCAACCCAAAACTGTTGACTTCGGCTTAGCAAAATTCAGACCTGTGTGTGACAAGACTCATGTTTCAACTGGGGTGATGGGAACTTATGGATATTGTGCCCCGGAGTACGCCATGAGGGGGAAATTAACTCCCATGTCTGACATATATAGTTTTGGTGTGGCACTACTGGAGTTGATAGCGGGACGCAGGGCAATAGACATTACTAGGAGTCTAGGAATCATGAAGGGCAAAAGTTGGTTCCGTGGGTAAGTAATAATTGAACAGAGTAGCTGAATATATTCTATCACTGAATTCTGATGTTTTCTGTGCTACCGGCCTATCCTTCAATGCGAAGACAGTATTGTCGGCGTTGCTTGAGCTATGCAGTTGCCATTTCTGCTGCTGTGTGTATCAAGTTAGTCTCCAAACTATCAATATCATTTTAAACATACCATTTTGTTAGTTTAGTAAACTTCTTGAGCATGAAATGCCAACTTGGTTATGTTGCGATGCATATTTAAAACACATGAATCAAATTTTAGACATCGTATATATAGACACTTTAGGTCTAATATGTTAAAAAAACATATTAGATTTTGATGACAAATTCAAACTGTCCATACAATATGTGCACACGTATTTAACGTTTGGTCTATAAATTTTGAATAGGATACACTTCCAACTTGGGTTGACATTTAGTGCTCAAATAATTTACTAAACTAACCGAAGGATATGTTAAAATAAAATTGATAGTTTATAGACTAGTTCAAAATATTTCAAAATTTTGAAACTAATATAAAATTTGAGCATAATTTGAAATATTTAATATAAATCTGTATTATAGATCAATCGATCCTTTTACACTACACCTAGAAATCAACAATAAAAAAAAACTTTGTTGTTGATGATTCTTTTTTTTTTTATCACAGTTGCCGGTTGGATCAAAGAGAAATAGGTAGTATAAGTTTGTTCATAATATTTTTGTCGAAGTATGTTCATGATATTTTTGTATTTCCGGGTTAAATTATTTTCAAGTTCGAAAAAAAGATGAATTTAAAATATTTTTAGGCCTAGCTCGATTGAAGATTAAACTCGAATTTGAACATAAACCTTAAATAAATGAAAATTTTATATTGTATTTTTAACAAAGGAAAACAATATATAAATGTCAATATTACTAATAATTTATTTAAAAATTTAATATATTATATTTTTTTAGTCGTTCGTGAACTTTTCGAGTTGAGTATCGAGTAGCTTACTTCGACTCGTTAAGAATTTAAGTTTAGTCCATTTAATTTGAGTAATAACCAAACTTTAATTGAACTGAATTCAAATAACTCACAATCTGTCTCATGTGTCCATGAAACAATCCTCTCCGATGGTCAGCGTCATGACTCGAGTATCCTGGTCTTCCTTGGCGGCGTCCTGCTTCAGTTTCTAGCTTTTCTTTTATTTTGCTTTCTCCGAATCCACTTTTCTTTCCATTGCCTACAAAAGAATCTTGCAAAAACTTTATTTCATAAAAAATGTGCATTAAAAATAATGTAAAACTCATTTTTTTAATAACTAGTTGTAAAATGTACTAAAGACTAAAAGAAATCACTTAAAATAACAAAGAACTTGATCTTCAGTTTATATCAGTCAATGGTTTAACCCTTTAACAACCTCTTCCAACTTTTTTCAGGCACATAGGCAGTCAAATTTTCATATAATTTATTTTTTATATTTTTATTGATAATTATTATAACTCTTCTAGAATTTTATAAGTAGACTTTATAAAATTTTACAATTTTATCTCTTTTGATTTAAAATCTCGAATCCGTCTTAACGTCATTCCATTTAATGTTATCTTGAGAAAAAAATGACTCGAATAAACTTCATGCATACCGATTACACTAATCACATTTTTTCTTCTAAGAGTAAAAAAGTCGTGGGATGATTTTCTTAGGGCTTTCCCAGTGCCAGGATTCGATGAACCTGGCATTTTTCTTTTTCTGTTGTGTTATTTTTTTCCAGTGGACGAACATAACTTTCTATGTCCATTCTATGAAAATAATTCTTCCAAATGAAGATTTCTGGCGTTGAGCATAAAGATAATGGAGTTAGTCTATATAAGTTAGGACCAATTACTTTTCCTCATAAAACCGAAACTATATATAATGTACCAGTCTCGCATCCTTAACATTAAATATTTCGAGTTAATCAAGTTGATGATGATGATGTCGGGTTGGTTTTTCGCCATTTCGATACTCGTGATAAGTATTAGTGAGACAATCAGGTGGATTTATAGGTGGAGGAACCCTAAATGTAAAGGAATACTGCCTCCAGGTTCGATGGGGCTCCCACTCCTAGGGGAGACCCTTAGTTTTATTGTCACGGCCAACTCCATAGACATCCATCCTTTTGTAAGGAAAAGAATGAACAGGTACGGTCCGCTGTTCAAAACAAGCATAGCAGGTCGATCGATAGTGGTGTCGACGGATCCCGATTTCAATGACTTCGTGTTCCGACAAGAAGGTAAACTAGTTGAGATGTGGTACATGGATTCCTTCGCGAAGCTGCTTCGCCAAGATACAACAGCAGCAAGTGGCCACGTCCACAAATATCTGAGGCACCTTGTCATGAGCCACTTCGGCGTTGAAACGCTTAAAACCAGGCTGCTGCCTCAACTAGAATGTGCCATAAACCGTGGATTGCAGGAGTGGGCTAAGCAGCCTAATGTACAACTTAAAGACCAAACCGCTGCTGTAAGTTTACTTATTTCTAATCAGTAATTCTACTACTTTCACCAAATAAAATACTATAATTACCATAAACAAACATTTGCAGATGATATTTGAGTTTACTGCAAAGCACATGCTTAGTTATGATCCTGAAAGATCATCGGACGATAATATAGTGGGGAATTTATCAAACTTTCTGGAAGGACTGATGTCATTTCCTTTACGAATACCCGGCACTGCGTTCTATAGATGTAGACAGGTAATCATTCAAGAAAGAAAGCAAATTATTCCCACAACAAAATCGAAATTCATATACATGTAAAAATAATGCAGAGGCAGCAGAAGGTGATGAAAGTAATAAGTAAAATAGTGGAAGAGAGGATGAAAAGGTCAAATTCCCAAGGAGATTTTGTGGACGAAATGGTGGAAGACATGAGGACAGAAACATTCATGACCAAGGAGTTTGCTAGTCATGTTCTTTTTGGAATCCTCCTGGCCAGCTTTGAGACTATTTCTTCCACTGTTGCCTTGGCCATCAACTATTTATCTGAACATCCTTCTTTGCTACAACAACTTACGGTACGTACGTTATCAACATATATGATACTTGATTAACATCTAATCTTTTCTTTTATCTAGTAATTGATGCAGCCTGCAATGATAAATTGGATTCCATTTAAGATTAAGCTTTGGTTGACATCCGACATTGAATTTGATTCTTACATAGTGTTTTTCTCTTTTCTTTTTATTAAAAAATTAAGTCTTAATTTGATTGACATCATTATTGTTGTAACATGTAACAAGATGTGAATTTCAACCAACAAATCAAACACACATTATCTTATAGTTTATAGATGAAATTGAATTAAGACTCAATTTTTCATAGTACAAAGTTGATAATTTTTATTTTATTTTTATATACTTAATTTAATTATTTTTATAAGATGTTTTAGTAATTAAAGTGATTATATCATTGAATGTGTAACATGAAACTCAAATTATAATAGTATAATTCGATTAGAGGATGATTATTCAAAAAAAATTGAGCTAGTGGAATTGACAAAATATATTATACTATTCTATCTCAATGTAATTTTTTTAATCAAATAGAGTGAAATAAAATTCGAGTCAAATAAATTTGTTCAAGTTATATTATCTAATAGATCAAATTAAAATCTAATCAATAATATGACTAAAATTTAAATTACAATATATAAATTTAAGATCATATACAAACAAAATAAGAGAAAAATAAGATTTCTAAATTTAATAATGCATTTTAAGGCCTCGAATTTATCATTTAGGACTTTTTTACAATCTAACGTTTTTAAATATTTTTTCATATAATTTTTAATTATTTTAAACCTTTGTATATATATAATTTTTTTTTATTTTTTATAAATTTTGTTGAGAGGGATTAATTTGTATATTTTTGTATTTATTAATTATGAAAATGGTATTTACATAAATTTATAACTCGATTTATTTAAATTATTCAAATTTCAAAATTCAACTCAACTCTATTAACTCAAAATTTCAAATTATTTTAAATTAGATAGAATTTTACTCACTTTAATATAGAAAATAATTTTTTAAAATTAATTAGAGGTGAAATTATACTTGAATTTATTTATCATTTAAGAAACTATTGAGTAGGAGGAGCACGAGGAAATTCTTAATAAGAGAAGAGGTGGCAATCCTGGAGGTACAGATGGACTTGTATGGGAAGATTACAGATCCATGAATTTTACTCATGACGTTAGTCTCATCATATCCCTTAGTTAATTTTAATTTCTTTTTCCCTTTAATTAAGTTTTATCATGTTTAATTCATGCAATTTTGTGCATAAAAGGTGGTCAATGAGTCGCTGAGACTAGCAAATGTTGCTCCTGGGATCTTAAGAAGGGTTATAAAAGACATTCATGTTAACGGTAATTATCTACCAACACACATATTTCTTCAATTAAATTATTAAAATATTAATTTTTGGCATTTATTAATTTGCAGGATACACAATACCGAGAGGTTGGGCTATTATGGTTGTGTCTGCAGCTCAACATCTTAATCCCAACACCTTTGAAGATCCTCTTACCTTCGACCCTTCAAGATGGAAGGTATATTTATTTTTGATATAATGATGAAATTAGTCCAACGTTTATTCAAATAATTATTTTGGTCTATTTTTTAGAATATTTTAATCCCTCAACGTTTACATATTAATTGACGATCAACACATGTTACTTACGTGGTATTTTCGCATGTGCTTAATTGGTGACATGATATATGCCATATCATCACTTTGGATGCATGAGACTCGATAACACATGTGAAATGTCACATCAACAACATGTGTTAATTGTTAGTCAACTAACGATTCTCGTCTAACATGGTATGTTTTGACAGAAAAATTAAAACATTTAGACTAAAATGTTCTAAAAAGAAGAATAGAACTCAAAGTGAATATTTGTGTAAATGTTGGGGGTAATTTTGTCATTGTATCTTTTTTAAGAACACGGGAAGCAATGCCAAGGCCAAAAATTTCATGGCGTTTGGAGGAGGCGGTAGGACATGTGCAGGAGCAGATTTCAGCAAGGTCCTGATGGCTGTATTTTTACATGTCTTGGTCACCAAATACAGGTATATTTACCATTATATATATATATGTATGTACCTGTTAATCAATTCGTTACGGAAGTATCAGCCTGAAAAGAAAATGTAAATTTGGGTCAGGTGGACAAAGATCAAGGGAGGAGACGTGGTTCGTTCGCCCACTCTAGGATTTGCCGATGGTTTCTACGTTAGCGTTTCACCAAAACATGCATCAAACATCGAAGAATAAGGAGCAAGTCCGGCAGTCGATCGACTCGATGATTATCTTAGAAATAATCCCAATATTATAGACTTACTTATCAAGTGTTGTTGGATATTCCCACCATGTAATAATCATTCGCTATAAATACACCATGTGTGCGGGGCGATAACACCTAAAAATCACCCTGACACACTTTATTTATCTGTCCGATACACTTTTATCTTTATTTACCGATAACACCATTTGCAAGAAGGTACGACTCATCCACCGTGCCTTACGTCACATGGCAGAAGGCGAGGCCCATACACCACGCCTTGTTAAACGTGTAAAAATCGGATGCTAATTTTATAAATATTTTAAAATGATGCCTAATATATAATTAATTTCTATTGTGGTAATATTTGTATAAAAACGTCAACTTTATTTATTTATTTTTTTGTGTGATATTATTTTTAACAACATTTAATAATGTTTATTGACTTTTAAAATTAATTGTTTAAAAATATAAAAATATTAAAATAAAATTTTAATTACAATTAAGAGATTAAATGAATTATTATTCACTTTTTAAAAAATCAACAAAAATGCAATAAAAAAGGAATTAAAAATGAATAAAATTCAATAAAAAAAGAATGTAAAGTTAAAAAATAAATTTATTAAAAATGAATAAACATTATTAAAATATTTACCCTAAAAATTTTCCTATACTAGATTATATGTATTATGTAATTTCATGCAAAATCAAATAATTTTATTAAAAATGAATAAACATTATTAACTGTTGTTAAAATAATAATTCATTTGATCTCTCAATTGTAATTAAAAGTTTATTTTAATATTTTTTATATTTTTAAACAATTAATTTTAAAAGTCAATAAATTTTTTAAAAATATCTAAAATTTATAATTTTTTAAATTATAAAATACTTATCATCATCATCATCATCATTTTGTAAAATAAATAATGGTTATAAAAATTTTATAAAATTATTGATATTTTAAAATATTTACCATCAAAATTTTTCTATACTAAATTATACATATTGTATAATTTCATGCAAAAATCTAAATAATTTTATTAAAAATGAATAAACATTATTAACTGTTGTTAAAAATAATAATTAATGAATAATAATTCATTTGATCCTTCAATTGTAATTACAAGTTTATTTTAATATTTTTTTATATTTTAAACAATTAATTTTAAAAGTCAATAGATTTTTCAAAAATATATAAAAATTATAATTTTTTAAATTATAAAATATTTATTACCATCATCATTATCATTTTGTAAAAAAAATACTAGTTATAAAACTTTCATAAAATTATTCATATTTTAAAATACTGACCCTCAAAGTTTTCATATACTAAATTATAAGTATGGTGTAATTTTATGAAAAAATCAAAATTTATCGAGTTATAAAATAATTTGTAAAAAAATATTTAAGGATTTTAATGTATAATTTTTTTTCACACAAAAATAATAAATAAAGTTGATGTTTTTACACAATATAACCCTAACAGAAATTAATTACATATTAGGCACCATTTTAAAAGTATTTACAAAACTAACACCCGATTTTTTACACGTTTTATAAGGCGCGGTGCATGGGCCACGTCTTATCCCACGTGAAACCAAATCAACGTAAAACACGGTACATGGGTCGTGCCTTCATGCAAACGGTGTTAGATCAGTAAATAAATATGAAAAGGTATATGACAGGTAAATAAAGTTGGTCAGGGTGATTTTTGCCACGTCTTCCTGCAAACGGTGTTAGATCAATAAATAAAAATGAATATGATAGGTAAATAAAGTTGGTCATGGTGATATTTGGGTGTTATGCATGTGTGCGGATTGGCTAGTAATATTAATTTCAAATACCTGCGTTTCTTGATGGAAATGAACTTGGGATCCGCGCTGCTCTGCAGATTATTGGTGTTACATTAATTGTCCCTTGAGACAGAGGCATCAAGTGTTTCTGCCATTGTTTTAGCAGTTGATGGTTAAATAACCTCAATGCCTGGGGAATGGAAATCATAAATGGTTGATACCAGCCTGTTTAGCTGATGGCATAACAGCTTTCAATTGAATCCCTCCCGTTTACTTTTTCCAGCTTTTGAGGTCAGTCACTCGGTTCGGCTTTGTCCTCGCTAACTTAAAGAGAGCTGAAAAGAAAATGGCACTGAACTTTTAACAAGGTTGCATAACATATAATTTAATAAATTTTATATAATAATGTCTACTATAGTCTTGCTTGCATCACATAATTTAGCAAATTAAACTTTACTCTTTCTTCAGGATAAGTTTAATCTAAATCTTAATTGAAAGAAGCATTGTTTGATCTGATTGAAGGATTTAATAAAAGTAGAAATCCGAAAGTAACTCTAATCAAATCTTTTTTTTCGCATGTGATGATTTAAATCATTAAAAAATTGTGACGAGACGAGACTATACAACATAAACTAAATCAAACGGCATACATTAATTAATATAACGGATTTATAATATTGTTCAGGGGGAAAAACACTAGGGAATGGTAAATACATATCAAAACTCGTGTATTGCTAGAAATACATTTGAAATCATCTTACAAACTGTTTGAGAAAACATGGAAAAATGTTTCAATCACTCACATACGCCCATTTCAACCCTCTGGTGTCGAATAAACTATAGTCAGGTCAAAACATAACAAAATTAACTATTCTTCACTATAGTTTCTCACAATGCTGCATACAGCACAAGGGTAGTGAGAAAGACACCATTTGTTAAAACTGACTGCTACAAGTTCAAGTATACTATACCCACTTTCCTCATCAAACCATTACTCACAGTGGTTCGCCGGCCATTTGAGGTGATCATATCAAATCAGATTTCTTAAACTTGCTCTAGGCACGATTACATATTTCAATAGACCAGAGGAAGCAGGTCAAATGCAATGGTCAATAAGTCTCAAATTTACACAACAAAGTTAGTCCTTTTTAAGTAAATTCATGCTTGGTATAGTTCTACGTAGATAATGGAAGGAGCATGCGTCTCTTCTTTTTCCTAGCCAATCTCACATAATTTGTGATTTTCATGCAGAGAAGCAATAGCACTGTTATGCATAATGGAATAAAGGCCAATTGCATATGCCTAAAGTATTAACAAACGGCTGAGAAAACCAGGAAAGCTAAAATAACAAGTTCCCATATAACAAAGACAACAACATCCACCCTACATCAGCAAAACAGTACACAAAGCACAATGTTTAGAAATGTCTTATTCCGAGACAGAGAAGAACAAATAGTCAAAAGAAAACCAAAAGAATGGATACTAATGAAACTACAAATATTCTAGAAATTAAGTTATTTTATTTTTTCCAAAAAAAAGATTGACAATACCTGACTCATGCAATTTACTAATGTAAATTATAACCTTACAAACATGTCAAAACTTGTTGGAACTAGGCCTTAGCACAAACATATTGGCCATGAATATTTTCAGGCATAAGTATCCCAAAAATCTTAATGCATGTATGTTGCAAAGAATTGGTTCAGAGCCAATTGACTATTATTTTCAAACCAGTACAACATCACTTCTTAATGTAAGCTAGCATTTGAATAGAAAGGGACTCCTAGCCTAAGCCCACAAGCCCAACATTTGAGCAAAATCCAAACAATTCTATAATGCACCAATCACCATATGGACAGCAATCTGCTCTTATAGATCTTTGATAACAGCCATAAAAAGCCCAAAGATACAAATGGTACTCAGTAATCATAGTTGAGTAAATGACAAGATTCAAGTACACAAATGCACTCCTACAATCATAAAGTTAGTTCCCTCACCAATGATTAGGACTGTAAATGAGAATGGACAGATCGCGAGCTATTCGACATTGACTCGATCAAAATTCAATAAATATTCAACTCGAATAGACTCGACTCAAGCTCGATTCGATTTCTTAACCAGTCATCGCCGGTCACCACTGCTGCTGCCACCGTCGCCAACCAATCACCCACACATTGCCATCGCCACCGTTTGCCAAATACCAAAACCTGATCATTGCCTCTCAGTTTCCATGAAACTAAGAGGGGATGCCATTCGAACCAAGGTTTTTGCTTTGCTTATTATGAGTCTGTTCAAATTCTTTAAGTTGGAAGGACAGATAGACATATTGCTCTCTTGATCTGATATAAGTCATATAATCAATTTTTGTATAGTACTAGTTTTTTTCATATGTACGAAAACCCCCCGATATTTTTCAGTCTGCATATTTTTCTTAGTTGCTTCCATTTTATAACATCGCAGATTGGAGGCCGATATTTGAGCTTCATTGTCTTCACCAGAGATATTTCCTCAATTTCCTTAATATTATCTGTTTAGATTCATATCTTAGCACTTGAGAATGAAAAAGGGGGGGGGAGGAAATTCATATCCATTGCCAAGGTCAGTTTCCAGCTTCAAGTTGGATGTAAGATGGACCACTGTATATTCTTTTGAACTCCATGGCAATACCATTGTCGAGGTAACATTGAGATTCAAAGGGGTTTGATTTAGGCGGCAATGATCGAACAACGGTAGTGGGTGATTGGTCGGCAGCGGCAGCAGTGGTTGTGACCGGCAATGACTGATAATGGAGGTTTGAAATTAAAGATTTTAAGGTTTTAATTTTTTTTTGGTAATTTTAACTAAATTTGAGATATATTTTAAGTATATATTTAATTTTTTTAAAATAAAATTTTAAAAAAATTAAAAGCGGCAGTGTCGGTTTAAAATTTTAAAACGCCAGATAGTGAAATTTCTTTAGACAACTAAAATTAACTTAGTATTTAGTTTGATTACTTATTTTTATATTAAGCCTGAAAATATAAAAAGCAGGGGTTAGCAAGATAATAGTAGCATGAACCATGTGTACATATATTGGCAGATTGAGGTGGAAACAACTAAAAATGCGGATTTACCAAAAGAAATTAAGAAAAAAATACCATAATAATAAGCTCCTGCTGACTTTTTAACCTAAATATGCTATAAAACCTAGCTTATCTAGCTAATCCGGTAATGATTATATTGAAGATCATATGGAACACATTTCATTACAAGCTCGTTAATCACAAAAATATTGCTATTGGATCAAATATGAAAAAAAGGCCTAAATTTTAAAAACAGGTTTCTGAAAAAGCAAAAACTAAAAAAAGTAAATCAAAGAATTAGGTTTACCTGGAGATGTAAGGTTAGACGTTGATGAGAATAACGAAACGGAGGCCCAATCGTGGTCAGATCGAATATGATACTCCCTCAACTGCTCTGCTAAATTTGATCGCGTTATCATCGCTAGCCTTCGTCTTCCCCCCCCCCCCTTTCCGTTTAAAACTTTTGTTTGGCTTTGAAGCCCAAAAAGAAATTTAAAATGTTATAGAGTTACATAAGGTACGAATTGGAGATAGAGAAAGGGAAGGAAGAGCATCAATGATCGATGGAGATGGGAGTTGGTTCGTTGCGTTGCGTTGCGTCGCGTCAGTGTTTGGAGGGAAGATGGAGGAAAAGAAAGGGTTTGAGGGGTTTTCCATTGAACTGTGCAATGGCTTGAGTACTTGTACAACGAGACCAATAATAAAATGGGCCAATCTCTACACACTTTACGTTGGAATTCTGGGATAAAGAAGCCCACGTTAGATCACCCTTCCAAGTTCCAACCCAAACAATCCCTTTACAGTTTCAGGGCCTTAAATTGAGGTGGCCTTTATTGTTTGGTTGGTAGAAAATGGAATTGGAATCTAATTTCATATTCTGTTTAGTTCGCAGACATGTTAGATGAATTTGATTTCAGTAATATAAAATGACAGAATTGTCTTTCTTATTTTTTTGCTTTATTTTAGTTTGTTTTACAACTTACATGTAGTAATATATTATAAAAATATTAAAATTTCATTTTATTGATTGATTATTCATTTCAATAAATTATAAAAATCATGCTAATAAACATCATAAGTTAAAATCATCGCAATCAAAATATGTTAATAAGTTACCAAAAGATAGAATAATATTTCGATACATTCCAATCGGAGTATGTTAATTAGTTACCAAAAAATATACCAAAAACTATTTTTATTCAATATATGAATTAGAAACCCGACCCGGCACGACATGAAATAATAAAAAAAATTATTTTTATTCAATAAAAACATTGACTTAATTGAAAAAAATTATATATATAGGGGTATTATTGTAATTATTCCTAAATATATAAGGTAAAATTATATTTTTTTTCGGGTCGGGTTCGGTTTTTTTCACCCTAAACCCGAACCCGAATATCACACTTAAAAAACCCGACCCGACCCAAACAAAATAAAGTTTCACCAGACCAGACCCGACCCGACCCGACCCTAATATATGAATTAGAAATCCGACCCGACCCGACCCGAAATAATAATAAAATTATTTTTATTCAATAAAAACAGTGACTTAATTGAAAAAAAATTATATATAGAGGGGTATTATTGTAATTATTCCTAAATATATAAGGTAAAATTATATATATATTCGGGTCGGTTATTTTTCACTCTAAACTCGAACTCGACCCGACCCGAATATCACACTTAAAAAAGCCCGACCCGACCAAAATAAAGTTTCACCCGACCCGACCCGAATATATGAATTAGAAACCCGACCCGAAATAATAAAAAAAAATTTATTCAATATATGAATAAGTTACCAAAAGCCATCCAGCTCAGTTGGTAAAGCACACGATTCTTAACCTTGAGGTCGTGGGATCGAGTCTCATGGAGGACATTTCATAATTCGGAGATCTCCTACGGAAGCTGCTCTCAACCTAGTGTTGGGGGCAGCCTACTATCTTACCAAGGGATAACCATTTTACCAAAAGATTGATGAGGGTAGTATGGTTAAATTTCAATTCCCCCCAACAAAGGAATTGAATTCCAATTCCCCACCAATTCCAAAAAATTCATGCCAACCAAACACTACCTGAGTGTTTCGAGAGATATTGGGAGTGATCAATATACAAAATATATATATATATATATATATTGTATGTTGTATAAAGCAAACCATCCAATAATTGGCTGGTCATAAGCTTGACAATTCAGGCGCTCCTATTTCTAATTCCTCTAACATAATTTGAGAGTCACAAGTTCCATCTTTTCATATGAGGAAAATAAATTTTATTTAATTAACTAAATTAAAATAAATTTAACTATTCAATTAGAGATCGACATATGTCACAATCTAAATAGAAGATTAAATTTATTGAATTAAATAAAATTAAAATCAAATTAACACCTTGTGTAAGTAACAAGGTCCAAATGTATAATTATATCAAAATTTTTAATTGTAACGTCATATTCTCGTTAAATGTTAAATGTTTGTGATTTGATTGAATAATTTAAATAGTTAAATGATATAATTAACATAATAAAAAAAAGAGAAAAAAGCGTCAGTGACCGAAAATGACTTATAATATACGATTTTAACCAACTTTTTTGTGATTTGCGAAAATGACCAACAAAATCGCAACGCGATATCAAAATCGCAACGCGATTAAGAAAATCGCAACGTTGAAAAGAAAATCGCAACGGTCAAAAGAAAATCGCAACGCGATATTCCAAGAATCGCAATGCGATTAAGAGAATCGCAACGCGATCTTCCAAGAATCGCAATGCGATTCAGAAAATCGCAACGCGATTCCAAGAATCGCAACGCGATTAAGAAAATCGCAACGCGATTCCAAGAATCGCAACGCGATTAAGAAAATCGCAACGCGATTCCAAGAATCGCAACGCGATTAATAAAATGAGTAAATTCTTTCAAAAGCTGTTGCATTTGTTTCTTTCTTAAGAATTTTCTCTAAAAAGATAGTATCCGCGCGGACGTGTCGAAGACACGTATTACCACGACCACGACCACGACCACGACCACGACCACGACCACGACCACGACCACGACCACGACCACGACCACGACCACGACCCGAGACGAGACGGCGGCGGCGGCGCGCGAGAGTCCCCCTTGTTCTCTTTCACTCAACAAGGAAATGGGAAATCCAAGCCTTAAATACACTTCCCAATAGTGTTTCCAATACTATGTGGGATTGAGCATTACTCAACACTTCAAAGAAAATATAGCAATTTTTGTAGTATTTTCCCACTTAATCCATATCTAAAAATATTAAAACATTTTATCAAGAGAATTAAAAGAGTTGTAGATATCTACATTTCAATTCAAACTTATACATATAGTTTTAATATGATAAAATGTTTTAATATTTTTAAATATGGATTAAGCGGGAAACATGCTACAAAAATTGCTATATTTTCTTTGAAGTGTTGAGTAATGCTCAATCCCACATAGTATTGGAAACACTATTGGGAAGTGTATTTAAGGCTTGGATTTCCCATTTCCTTGTTGAGTGAAAGAGAACAAGGGGGACTCTCGCGCGCCGCCGCCGCCGCCGTCTCGTCTCGGGTCGGGTCGGGTCGGGTCGGGTCGGGTCGGGTCGTGTCGTGTCGTGTCGTGTCGTGTCGTGTCGTGTCGTGGTCGTGGTCGTGGTCGTGGTCGTGGTCGTGGTCGTGGTCGTGGTCGTGGTCGTGGTCGTGGTCGTGGTCGTGGTCGTGGTCGTGGTCGTGGTCGTGGTCGTGGTAATACGTGTCTTCGACACGTACGCGCGGATACTATCTTTTTAGAGAAAATTCTTAAGAAACAAATGCAACAGCTTTTGAAAGAATTTACTCATTTTCTAAATCGCGTTGCGATTCTCTGAATCGCGTTGCGATTCTTGGAAGATCGCGTTGCGATTCTCTGAATCGCGTTGCGATTCTCTGAATCGCGTTGCGATTCTTGGAAGATCGCATTGCGATTTTATGAATCGCATTGCGATTCTTGGATGATCGCGTTGCGATCTTCTTTTCAACGTTGCGCTTTTCTAAATCGCGTTGCGGTTTTGATATCGCGTTGCGATTTTGTTGGTCATTTTGGCAAATCAAAAAAAAGTTGGTTAAAATCGTATATTATAAGGCATTTTTGGTCACTGAGGTGATTTTCTCTAAAAAAAAAATTGATGGTCAAGATGAAAAAGGAAAGAAAATGAGAATGGATAACAGTGGATGGTAAAAATAAAAATTTCCCCCCAATTATTGCATCCTACGTGGGTCTTGTTAAGTAACTTAAGTAGCAAAGGTAACAAGATAAGGTTGTCTTGTGAGACATACTAATTGGCCAATGGATTTCCAAAATCTTGTTCTTCCCTCCGCAAAGTAACAACTTTTTTTTTCTTACAAAAGAAGAATCCGATTGCAGCTGCTACTCTTGTCCGATAGGCATATCGAAGAGAAGGAAATGTTAGGTGCGCTCAGTGCTGCAAGTTTAACACTTGGTCCGGGTAGTGCTCCAGCACCTTTCACCGCACAACGCGGCAATGATGGCGCCGCCAAAGCCTTAGCGTTTCCCAGAGGCAGCAACAGCAACCGCGCCCAGTTGTTGGTTAAGAGCTCCTTCACTTCAACTTCCAGGACGGCACCATCCTTTAGGACAGCAGTTGCTGCAGTTGACTCAGACCAGCTCAGTCCCGAGAAGGTAATCTCTTGTATCTATTGTTTCTTCTCCACCGTCTATCAAATATCAAATAGTTGGTGTAATTGGGTATTTTGATTCATGATATACTGCTATGTTTCTGTCCATTACCGACTGTGTAGATAAAGTAAACTGCTACTCCGTTTGCCTCAGTAAATTTAGAGAGACACAAGATTTTATCATTTTATGTTAGAATCAACTTTTAAAATTTAAGGAGACAGCTAAATTATAAAATTCTAGGGACGAAAATATATTATTAATACAAAATATAAAGAAAAAAATTAAAATATATGATAATTTGAAATTTTTTGGTCGGCCCCTTGGGTCCATCCATGTTAGTAATAGTGTTCATGCCAAGCCAATTACCATTCTAATCTTATGTAGCCATGCATACTGCACTCTAGTCTAGCTTTAACAAGCAGCAATGAGGAGAAACAATGTGGTTCACAATTCATATATTCCAATTCTAGTTGTCTCCGGGTATTGTTTAACCACATTAGTTTCCTAAAGCCGGTAATCTTTCATGATTAAGTAATTGGATAGAAGATCAAAATGTGTCCTCTGCTAGATAGATGCTTAGTGTTAAAATGAGGATCCAATTAATTGCCAATCAAGCAAAATGAGTCTCGTTGTATTTTTTTTTCTTTCATCGTGGTGACGAAGATCTTCTTGGAAATCATGCTCTATTTATTAAAAGTTTCATAGTGGTGTAAAAATAAAACAATACTAATAAAAAAAGGAGTGCCTAGAGACAATGCTGGTTTTCTGTTTAGAATGGTATTGTTAAAGAGAATTTTCTGCTGTTATTAGTTGCTTTACGGTTCTGAAATTCTTCCTATACAGCAACAAGCGCAAAAGTACCATTTTGTTGTTGCGAATGCAAAGTTCATGGATGAAGAGGAACACTTCAAGGAGCTCTTGTTTGAGAGGCTTAGGTTCTATGGAGAACACGATAAAGAACAGGATTTCTGGCTTTTAATCGAGCCCAAGTTCTTGGAAAAATTTCCTGACATTACAAAGAGGTTGCACAGGCCCGCTGTTGCTCTGGTTTCTACTAACGGCCCTTGGATTACGTAAGACTTGAACCCAAAATATTTGTTTTTATTTTAGCTTCAGTTTTCTTCATCTTCTTCCCATGTGCCTACTGCATAAAACCTGAATATTGAAAGACTAGTATTACGCTACTATAATTTGCTAGTTTTCATTATACCTGCCACCTGGTTAGGACTTCTTCCAGTAGACAGTAAACCAAGAATGGTGCAAGTACAGATGTACACTTAATTCGTGGACAGTTGAATCCTTTGTGACATTATCTGGTGATACTTAAATCATAATCTTGCATGCCGGATCATACTAAAAGGAAAAATAAAACATATACCACGGTTAGTAGCGGAACTCAACATCTTCTTCCCATGTGCCTACTGCATAAAACCTGAATATTGAAAGACTAGTATTACACAACCATAATTTGCTAAGTTTCATTATAGATGCCACCTTGGTTAGGACTTCTTCTAGGAGACAGTAAACCTAGAATGGTGCAAGTACAGAAATACCCTTACATCGTGTATAGTTGAATCCTTTGTGACATTGTCTGGTGATACATAAATCATGCTCAACATTATTTGCTGGGGGTGGGGGACATTTAAAAGGTCTAAACTTATGGGGGACCATGGCCCCAACAGGTCCGTCCAACGTTTCGCCTCTGCCCACAGAGGTGGATAGTTTTAGTTTTGACCTTGTAGGAAAAAGTGCATCATAGTTTATGAATGGCTTGAAAACACTCATCCCCGTGGTTATTATATGGAATACATCTCAAATGATTTCTGAACCTTTTATCAATATGACTTGGCCATAGTTTTAATTAGCATGGTATTAAGATATTGGTATAGCAGGCAAGTCCCTACTGGCTTTGTGTTATATATGTTATTTGTAAGTTGCATCTTTTTTGCTGGTAGGTTTATGAAATTGAGGTTGGACAGAGTTTTATCTAATAGCTATGAAGCTGACAGTCTTGAAGAAGCTTTAGCCTCAAATCCTACAATGCTGGAGTTTGAGAAGCCAGAAAACTGGGTGGCACCCTATCCCAAATATGAATTTGGATGGTGGGAGCCCTTCTTGCCAAATGGAGTTAAAGTTTGAAGTATAGCATTTTTGGCTATGGAATGTTGTTTTAGCTACAATTTTTTCTATAACTAATGAGAGATTCATGTGGTTGTCTATTTTGCGTACGATTTGGTACTCGATACAGACAATTCGAAAATTTTAATTTCTCGGTTGCAACAGCTACGAAGCTAATATCTTAACCTCCAGCATCAAAAACTAGTCTAAAACTCTATTTTTCAAAATAAGAAATATGCCTATTAGGTTGAGTTGGATCGGAACCTATCGAGTTCGGATGATATTATTATCTTTAAATCTATGTTGTATCCGCTAGACCAATTTGGTAATTGATTATATTTATAAAGATTATTAATATAAATTTTCTTTTTTTAATAGCACTGGTTTTATAGTGCACCAGACTAAGGCGGCCCATATATTTAAAACCCTACAATCGGGCTGTCGTTTTTTATTTGAAAAAGTTGGTAAGAGCCCATTCGACTTGGTAGCTGAGTTTTTGACTTGTTAGATTTGGAACAGGAGCGAAGAATTCGGATTTGGGATTGGGAGATTCAGCATGAGTTTTATTGCGATTCAATTCATTTCTATTTTCTCTTTCTCCTGATTTGTCGTGAAGTAGAACCGGGTTAATCTTGGTTCGAAGATGGTGAAAACCGGGGAATGAAAGCAGTAGCTGAAGGGTTGTGGGGACTAGCAGATTACCATGAGAAGAAGAGAGAGACAGGGAAGGCGGTGAAGTGCTTGAAGTGAAGACTCGATCCGCATAGCTACTCTCTGCTGCGCCACTCGCACAACGTTAACCATGCTAAGTACCACCTCGAACGCTCACAATTGCTCCTCAATTCCATACCATCTTGCTTCGACTTGAAGTGCCGGACCTACTCACTGCTCAGCCAGTGCTACCATCTCGTTGGGGCATCCCTCCTCAGAAACAGATCTTGTACTAGGCTCTTCACCTTACTTCCGCGGCGGCTGCCGAGTATGCTTGCTCTTTGGTTTTCTTGTTTAATGCTATTTCTTTTACTAGTACTTAATCTGCTAGGGTAAATTACTTGTGTTAAACACTCTTTGAACTTGTAGCGTGTCGGCGAAGTTATGGTGTTGCAACTTCAACTCTCAGCTGGCAAACGCTCTGATTATTGAAGGGGACTACCAGAACTCAATCTCCACTTTAGAATCAGGTTATGTAACCGCTACTCAAATATTTTATCCGGAGCTTCAGATGTTCTTCGTGGCTTCTATTCTGCATGTCCGTCTCCTTATGCAATGGGATGATCAAACTGCGAACGAGGTTGAGCGAGGTCTTCAGCGATGTGATCAGGTCTGGGAGACTACCCATAGATAAGGTCAGTTAAGATTTACCAAGTCTTGTTTTTCATTTTTGTTTCTTTTTTAATCTGTGATTATATACTATATGGTGTACTAATTCCTTTTTCCTATCAAAGAGAGCCCACTGCTTGGGCATACTCTTCTACAGTGAGCTTCTGCATATATTCTATCGACTTCGTGTCTCTGATTACAAGAATGCTGTCAAACACGTGGATAAGTTGGATGCTGCTATGAAACAAGATTCCAAGAATATGAACCAACAGATTTCAGCTGGAAATGATTCCCTCAAACCCACATATTTTGGAAATGTCAAACGGGCGTTGAAAGATAAGCTTTTCCTCACACCACCTCCCTTTAATGGGGAATGACTGCCAAAAAGTGCTCTCTATGCTCTTGTTCATCTTATATCATCATCTTTGGCCGTCCAAAAGGAAATTTCAAAGAGAAAAGTGGAGTTCCTATGTAGCCCCTTAAACTTTATGATTGATGGATGCTTATAATCTAAGCATTGCTGTTTATTGCAGAGGAACTGGTCAGGCTTGGGGTAACTGATAATGTGAGAGGTTAGTTTTTTTCTTATTTTTAGACCTTGCATTTGTCTTCCTGAAGTGATTTTCAATTTCTTACTGTTAACTTTCTTGATTTTGCTTGAGTAGAAGTGGATTTGCAACACTCAGCAATATGGATGGCTGGTGTATAGTTAATGCTATTGATGCAGTTCCTTGAGAATAAAGTTGCTGTGGAGCTCACACGTTCTGAATTTCTTCAGCTCAAGAGGTATTTTTATGCTTCCAATTATTGCCAATGAACTGTCTGCTTCTCTCTAAAACCCTTGCCAGTTTTTTGTTTTGAGTCAGCTGTGGGTGTGGTATACTTTCCCACCCCATTTAGGTAGCACCTTAATGAACAATTTGATTAGTTATCACAAAGTATATGCATGCATGTATATGTGATTTATTTTATATTTTTAATATTTATCAAGGTTTGAAGGGCCCTTGACTTTGCTTATCATGAAAAATAGAAAAAGAAAAGAAAAGAAGGATCCTTGACTTTCAGTTCCGACTCTCTCTTCTCTAAGCTAAGTTGAATTGACTATAGTTAGTTGCCATTTTATGTTTATTGAAAAGTGAAAATCACTGTTGTAGACTGTAAGAGTACATATATACAATATGTTAATTTGTTTGCCTTTAGTGAGCATCATGGTGATTTCCTTCAAACAATTTGGTATATGCCTTGTATACTTATTTTGTCCACCCTCTATTTGTATTTTATGTACAGAAACATGTAGAGAGACTTTCTCAGACTTTTTCCTGTACAAGATTATCATTTTCGATTAGACTCATAAATGCTCTGTGCTGTACAATTTAACCTTTTAGATTGGCAGAATGCTTCTTAATGTTCTCCATGCCAGGAACTTGTATCAGTAATTCTTGAATTTGAATTACTAAGATTGCATTTTAATCTTACAGGCATTGGTGCAAATGAAGAACTGGTTTATGCACTTCCAACAATATTACAGGCTTGTGAGGTCATCATTGAGATGCTTAGGGGGCAATATTCCCATTCTGTTGGTTGTTATAATGAAGCACCTTTTCACTATGTAGAATCTGCAAAGGTATGCTGTTTAACTTGGCACCAGGTACAAGTTCCATATTTTAATTGTTGCTTTTGAAAATAGTGGTGGATGGTCAAATGCTAATTTATATAAGCAAGCTCATCTGTTATAGCCGATTTCATCTAATTTACTTTACTTCTGTCATGTTTTCCAGATGAATATTTGTGAAATTTAAAGTGGCTACTTTGTTTCGCATGTTCAGATAACTGAGAGCAAATCAATGCAAATCATGTGCCAAGCTTATGCAGCCATTTCATACTTCTGCATTGGTGATGCTGAATCATCTTCACAGGTGAAGTAGTTGCTGGCTACAAAATTTATTGTTGCTGAAAACTGTAATTTAGTTTATCTTGTGGAGTTACTGATATTTATATTGCAATGTAGGCTCTTGATTTAATTGAACCAGTTTACAGAATGAAGAATTTCTTTGTTGGAATTCGAGAGGAAGCAAACATCCTTTTTGCTTATGGCCTTCTATTGATGAAGCAACAAGACCTACAGGAAGCACGGTGAGCTTCTGATTTGATTAGTCTCATTTTAACTGAGAGATAGTTGACTGTTTGGTTTAGGTAATTCGGTCCATCATGTCTTATGTGGCATTTGAAACAACCCAATTTCCGTTTTCAAGCATTTCTATAATCCATGTTCTGTAATAGCTATAGCATCTATTTGAGTCTGTCCAAAGGTGATGCTAAACAATTTTGTATATTTGAAAAGACCTGTTACTTCTTACTACTTAATCTTTCCCCCATTACTATCTCAGAGCATTGGCATATGCTCTAAACCCAATGCAATGAACAGTTTTCTCTAGAATAGGGAATCTCGTTTTCATTATGCTTCAGATGATATCTATGTTTAAAGTTGTATTTCCTATGTTTCAGTATTTCAGGTTAAAGACAACTTTTACTACTGATATATTAACTTATTTAACGGACTAAAATTTATTATTACCTAAAAAACGAAAAAAATAAGAGATAGTCTCCCGTTCATTATAGAATGTTTAAATTAATTTTATGGTATAGTGTTTTTCTTTCTAGTTACAACTTTGACGCAGATATCGACTGGCCAGGTTTGCAGATTGCTCATGTTCAATGGGAAACCTTCACCTAGTCTCAGTTTTTGACCATTCTTGGGAATTTGTCACTTGCTGCATGACACTGGACAAGCCAGAAGATCCTAAGATCCTCGCTCACTTTGGCGAAGAAGCTTGGTGATATCCCAACTCAGATATGGGTTCTGTCTGTTTTGACAGGTATACTTGCTTTGCAGGTCCTCATATTGAACTTGTAATCACTTTTTGACTCGTATGCTTATAGTGATAGGCGGCTCGTTAATCGGTTAAAGGTACTTACCATTTTATTTCGTGCGGAAGCAGATTGACAAAGTAAAACTTCAAGTTCAGCATTATTACGAGATTGATATGAAGCGAACAGTGGCAGGCGAATCGATGAGAGTCAATCTTGACATCCCAGAATCCGTTGGCTTATCAACACCAATGCCCGTTCAATCTTCATCAAGGCTGCTTGATTTACAGTGGAAGACGTGGAAAGAGAAAACTTTAACATGTTACCTCTTTCTTGTTATTTGATTTGGGTACATCGTGTTCGCACTTGATTGTATTGTTTTCGTATTTAGATTATCTTGGTGTTAGCATTACCAAATTAACCGAGCTTAAAGTCCATCTTGTTAGTTTCTAGTTCAAAGCATGTTTATGCTTGGTTAAACAATTGAAAATTGTATTTCTGTTCGGTTATTTAAAATTATGTGTTTTTGTTTGTATTCATTTAAATTAAATATCGAAGTTACCGACAATTGATACAAATGTCAACCTGATATGCAAACATTTAAAGGTAGTCATCACTTGCATTTAGGGTTGTTTGTTTGATGTAAAACATTTTTTTGGAATTTTGTTTTTATTTTTCAATGTTTGGCTGGAGGAAAACTGATTGATAAACTTAAAATATTTTTTTGATCGACAAAATTTTCATTGTGCTTTTTGGAAAATGACTTAAGGTCTGATTTTCCGTAAGTTATTTTCCGAACTTTTCACTTCAAAGAATAAATACTCAAAATAATTTTATTTTATGAATTTATATTAAAAATATTTTAATATCATTTTAATCAAAATATTTATTAAAACATTTAAAATATATTTATTAATATTCTAATAATATAATATAATATTTTTAATATTATAATAAAATAAT